AAAAAATGTCAAATATGTGAAACAGTAACAGCTTTGTTCATGTGGAGATGAGCTGTGATGTCACCACTTCTGTAAAATAATGAACTAATAAAAACTACACCCTCTGAGGGATCCACGTCTGTGTTTTCTTTGTTTGTTCAAGTGGAAAGGACTCAGAAATGTCTGTTTGATAAATAAGAAGCTTTAGCACACAGCCAGCTAACTTAGCTTAGCATGAAGACTGGAGAGCAGAAGGGGTTACCATGGTTACAGAGACAGACGGGAAACAGCATGTTTCTGTTTCCAGGGTCCTGTAGGGAGTGTTGGAGCACTCAAGATTGGTCTTGATCTTGACATCACTTTTTAAAGATCTCTGTCTCGTCTTCATATTGAAAGCATGTTTACTCGGCCTTGTCTCGGCCTCAGGATTTTAAATCAAGACCGCTTAAGAACCACCGCTGACAGGCTACTATTCCAAAAATAAACTTCAACCACAACCTTCCCGGTGAGTGACACGCCCCCAAAACACATGATGATTTTTCAGGGATATTTATGGTCTTGGTCGCGATCCCTTGGTGCACTCTGCTCTCGGTTAGTGTGGTCTTGACTCCAACACAACTCTATCTGAACCAAACAAATCCAGAGCATTCAGGAGCAGAATCTAAAGTTAGAAGGAGGACATACTGGCTGCTGCATTGTTGTCAGAGAAGCTAGCACTTCAACATAGCATGTTTCCTTAATGATCAGAGAGTAAGATACCTTTATCATCTCTCTTTAAAGGAAACAAAGAAACACTGTTATAGTAATATCTGTTTATTTACATCAACTGTAAACATTCAACTCTTCACATGAATGTACGTGTAGTAAAAGGCATGTTGTATAAAACACCAATTGTAAACTCTTGGCAACCTTTCGTGTAAATGCTGAGAGTGAAACATGAGAGGAGATCCTTCCACGTGTGAAAACCTGCAGGACTCGATCCTAACCCGATATGCTTTAAAATAGAAAATCTTATCGTCTATCCTGACTAATTATCACAAAATACATTTATGCAATTGAAGCAGTAGTTATGGCTCAGGCGGACGCCGACCTTCCACAGTTGACTAATTCTGTCGTCACCATGGAAACGCTGTAAGAACCCCTGCACTCGTTTAGAAACGCTGGCACAAAAATTCAAACAATTTAGCTGCAAATCGTTGAGAAATAAAAAAACCACCACATTTTGATAAAGCTGCTGGTCGTTTACCCTGACTCGACCGTCACAGTCTCCTACAGCGTCAGGTGCTTCACGCCGCGTTCACCATAAGAGTCCAAAGGTCGTTTGTGTTCACACCATAAAGCTGTCGAGAGCGTTTGAGTTGTTCAGAACACTCGCGCTGTTATGATGTCATTACTGCATAAATACACAAGAAAGCAACTTCACATTATAGAACCTCTCACAGGATCACCTGACGCCTGGTTTAGAAAAACGCACAAAATACAGAACATGGAAAATGAACTGAATGAGAGAGAGAGAGAGAGAGAGAGAGAGAGAGGAGAAGGAAGAGAGAGAGAGAGAGAGAGGGAGAGAGAGAGAGAGAGAGAGCAAGAGAGAGAGAGAGAGAGAGCAAGAGAGAGAGAGAGAGAGAGAGAGCGAGAGAGAGAGGAGAAGGAAGAGAGAGAGAGAGAGAGAGGGAGAGAGAGAGCAAGAGAGAGAGAGAGAGAGAGAGAGAGAGAGAGAGAGAGAGCGAGAGAGAGAGAGGAGAAGGAAGAGAGAGAGAGAGAGAGAGAGCAACAGAGAGAGAGAGAGGGGGATGAGAGAGCCAGAGAGAGAGGGGATGAGAGAGAGAGAGAGGGGATGAGAGAGAGAGAAGGGAGAGAGAGAGAGAGGGGGATGAGAGAGAGAGGGGATGAGAGAGAGAGAGAGAGAGAGAGAGAGAGAGAGAGAGAGAGGGGCTCGTTGGAGAGCAGAGTGACGTGGAGGTGAAAAGTGGAATCAGTTCCACTCGATCCCAGAAGTTCACAGCTGATGTCCCACAGTCTCCTCGCCGTCTCCTCACTCCTGCCCTGTGGGGCTACGAAGGCGGGGGCACAGTCGCTGTAATGAGAGGAGGGGGGGGGGGGAGGAGAGGGGGAGGGGGGTGATTATTACATAATGATGATGTGTCCCTTCCTGTTTTAATTTGACCTTCAGCAGCTCGGTGGTAATATCACCGTCATTAATGAGTTCTGTCGACACTTTGGGAACACGTGTCACAGACGTCGCTCAGCAGGATCGTTCAGACAGACTCTAAAGTGTTAATGTAAAACATCAGAGCGCTGTCTGTCTGTCTGTCTGTTTGTTTGTTTGTTTGTTTTACAGGTTTGTTCGTTTTTCATGACACGCCGACACGCCGACACAAACACTTGAAGGAATCTTGGTGTTCATGTGTTACTTTTAATGACAGCTGTCCTGTTCTAACAGAAAGGTTCCTTAAATGACTTCTTTCCCTGACTTCTGACTCTATCCACTATCCTATCCCTATAATAAAGGCACAAAAAGCCAAAAAATAAATCTTTAAAAATAAAAAATAAAAAAAATATATATCTATATATATATATATACATATATTTTATTTTTTTACTTGACCCCCCCAATATAATGGTAGGGGAAACACTGTTTCATATTTTCAGACATCTCCAAACTCTTGGTACCTTTAAGTCATTTGACAACACAACTTCAGAAGGTCTACACTTTTTTATATTCAGGTCAAATTATAGATTTTTTTTTCCTCAACTGTTTATAGGCTCTTGTTTAAATCTCACATATATTTTTAACTCTGCACGGGTTATGTACATTTCTTGTATAAGTCTATTTTTAACTGCACAGTTTAAGTTTGATTCATCGAGGGGGATTCTTTAAATCTTTTTTCAGGTTCATATATTGTAGCGCCTGCAGAGTCAGAATCCTCTTTGTACACACCTCCATTCATTGCTTGGTTTTGTGGTTAATGTGTAACAAATGTTTCATGTCATGTACGTCTTTGTAACCTGATACTGGATGCTTTCGATTTCCCTCTGGATCAATAAAGTATCTATCTAACTATCTATCTATCTTTGTACCCGCCTCTCGCCCCAATCACAGCTGGGATTGGCTCCAGCCCCCTGCGGATTACCGGTTTAGATGAAAGACGGGGGTTTTCAATGCAGCGCTCGCTGGCTGTTGGGATCCTCCAGCAGGAAGCAACAGAATCAAGCTGATGCTGTTGCTCGCTGTTCAAACACCTTAGAAACGTTTACAGTGTCAGGAGTGTAAAATAAAAGCGACTCATCCTCTGAGTGATGTCAGCGGTTAGACTCTTATTGCTTTATATTACTTCCTGTTTCTGCATCATTGCACGATCAAATAACATTTTAAAAAGCGACAAACTGACCCCTTGTGAACTGCACTACTTAGGTTATGACCTAAAATTGAACACGTCTAAACGTCTGGCAGTTATTCTGATGTTATGTTGTCGATGTTTTTTCTGTTGAAAAATAAAAAATAAAAAATTTTAGTGGCAAAAAAAAAAAAAAAAGCGACAAACTGTCTGATGGTGAAAACATGTTGGAGCCGCTGAAGCAGATGAAGCGAGACGACCGTGACTCCCTCAGGCTTTGTGCAAAGTTTTAAAGCATGCAGCGTTTCCATGGTTACCCTCGAGCTTGTGGGATGTGTGTTTTTGTTTTTTTTTCACTAGAACACCGAGGCCTGAAACATCATTCTTTAATGAAGCCGTTCAGAGCGGGTCAGCCAACAGCTTCCACTTCCAACAAAAACCAGTTTGAAACCTCCGGAGCTCATTCACGTCCTAAAAATAACAACAAACCTCAACGCACGCACAGTTCCTGTCCCGCCGTCCCCTACACTACCTGAAGTGTTTCCCAGAGATGGAGTGCAGCTCCTCCGCCACCGCACAGTAGATACTCGTCTGCGCTCCTTCTCGCGGCGTTTTCAGGAACGTGGAGAAGACGGTGAAGAATATCGTCATCAGGGTCGAATGTCTGGGTGAGGTCGGAGTTCACCGTCCCCGGGTGGACCGAGTTCACCGTCACGTTGGTACCTGTGAGGACAAAACGCCTTCATGACTGTGTGCAGATTTTGAGAGTTTGAACTCCTGTTAACTTCTCCTGAGGAACATTTCAGATGGTTTTTTTAATTTTTATTAAAGGTCACATATCCTCCTCCTCTTCTTCAAAAACATCAAAAACTTCCTCAAAACATGTGTGTGAAGTGTCTTGTTCTAAATCCACTCTGATCCTGTATTTGATCATGTCTATAAACCCCTCTATTTCAGCCCTGCTCAGAACAGGCTGTTTCTGTGTCTGTACCTTTAAATATGTAAATGAGCTGTGTCTGACCACGCCCCCTCTCTGGAAGGTCTTGGGTGTACTCTGTCTTTCTCGCTCCATGTCCTATTGTTTACGGTGAGAAGGCAGACTCAGAGGGCAGAACAAACACCTAGCTGTGAGAGTGTCACCCACCTGGGGGAGGGGCTACTGCCCTTTGTGATGTCATGAAGGGAAAATCTCCAAACGGCCTGTTTGAGCACACCTTTTCTGAGAAGTGGAGCAGGCAGAAGACGGAGAGGATGGACTTTTCTCATCATTGGGGGGTTTAGACACATGTTAGTGTCAGATCGGTGAAGAGGATTTTATAGAATATATGACCTTTGAACTGTTGATTTACTTATTTTAATTCTAGAGTAAAAGACGGTAGAGGATGCAGAGTGCATGTTTATTTTAAATATTCATTACGTCGAGCCGTGGTTACCGTACCTTTGAGTCTCCGGGCCAGCTCTCTGGTGAAGAGCACGTTGGCCAGTTTGCTCTGGCAGTACGCCAAGCCGCTGTTGTAGCTCCCCTGGCTGTGCAGGTCGTGGAATCGGATCCAGCCGAAGTTGTGAGCCAGAGAGGAGACCACGACGATCCGGGCATGCACACTGCGCTTCAGCTGCCCAATGAGGAGGGACGTCAACAGGAAGTGACCTGCAGGAGTAAGAAACACACACACACACACACACACACACACACACACACACACACACACACACACACACACACACACACACACACACACACACACACACACACACACACACACACACACACACACACAGTCAGCTGACGTCACGGGATCATTTCTGGACGATTCGTTTTTTTAAGACTGGGCGACACATTTGAACGACTACGAGTTCGACGGGGATTCAAACCAGGAACCTCCACACAGAGAGGCTCCTGAAGGACGGGGATTCAAACCAGGAACCTCCTCACAGAGAGACTCCTGAAGGACGGGGATTCAAACCAGGAACCTCCACACAGAGAGACTCCTGAAGGACGGGGATTCAAACCAGGAACCTCCTCACAGAGAGACTCCTGAAGGACGGGGATTCAAACCAGGAACCTCCACACAGAGAGACTCCTGAAGGACGGGGATTCAAACCAGGAACCTCCACACAGAGAGACTCCTGAAGGACGAGGATTCAAACCAGGAACCTCCACACAGAGAGACTCCTGAAGGACGGGGATTCAAACCAGGAACCTCCTCACAGAGAGACTCCTGAAGGACGGGGATTCAAACCAGGAACCTCCACACAGAGAGACTCCTGAAGGACGGGGATTCAAACCAGGAACCTCCACACAGAGAGACTCCTGAAGGACGAGGATTCAAACCAGGAACCTCCTCACAGAGAGACTCCTGAAGGACGGGGATTCAAACCAGGAACCTCCTCACTGAGAGACTCCTGAAGGACGAGGATTCAAACCAGGAACCTCCACACAGAGAGACTCCTGTCAGATGGGGATTCAAACCAGGAACCTCCTCACAGAGAGACTCCTGAAGGACGGGGATTCAAACCAGGAACCTCCTCACAGAGAGACTCCTGAAGGACGAGGATTCAAACCAGGAACCTCCACACAGAGAGACTCCTGTCAGATGGGGATTCAAACCAGGAACCTCCTCACAGAGAGACTCCTGACAGACGGGGATTCAAACCAGGAACCTCCTCACAGAGATACTCCTGAAGGACGGGGATTCAAACCAGGAACCTCCACACAGAGATACTCCTGAAGGACGGGGATTCAAACCAGGAACCTCCTCACAGAGAGACTCCTGAAGGACGGGGATTCAAACCAGGAACCTCCACACAGAGATACTCCTGAAGGACGGGGATTCAAACCAGGAACCTCCTCACAGAGAGACTCCTGAAGGACGGGGATTCAAACCAGGAACCTCCTCACAGAGATACTCCTGAAGGACGGGGATTCAAACCAGGAACCTCCTCACAGAGATACTCCTGAAGGACGGGGATTCAAACCAGGAACCTCCTCACTGTGAGGGGACAGAGTTAACCGCTGTTCTGTCTCTTACCTAAGTGGTTGACTCCGATGTGCATCTCAAAGCCGTCGATAGTTTTCATGTAAGGACACATCATCACGCCGGCGTTATTGATGAGGATATGAAGTTCGTTGACCTCTGAAGAAGAAGAAAACAGAAAGAGGGTCATGTCACGTTTGGTACTTTTTTAAAAAGTCACAAAGCAGCAGCTCGGCGCTCACCTCTCAGGAACTTCTGTGCGAAGGCTCGTATGGAGCAGGTGTCTGCCAGGTCCAGCTCCCGGACCTCCACGTCGGCTCGGGGACACGCCGCTCGTATACTGGCCGCCGCTTCCTCCCCTTTGTCCACATCTCGACACGCCATGATCACCCGAGCGCCTGTCATGTGAGACACGATCATCAGCCGTGAACAAAACAGACACCGCAATAATTCAGTGACGATGTTTGTGTAGCCTGAAGCACATCTTTCATTCTCTCTGCTTTTTTGCTTCTTGAGGAAGTTTGTTGTTTGTCAAAGTTAGCCGACATCTCGTGATTCTCCTCCGGCTAAGAGGAGCTGCTCCAACAAACCAAGGTCGCCCCAAGGACCCAAAACTCTAAAAGTCTTCTTTTCAGGAAGAAGCTGTTTGATTCATGCTGTGATCTTAACCAAGAGAGACTCCTGATCACAAACCAGCAGCACAAAACTGACTTCAGTTAAGACGCTACTATCTGATCAGACATTAAGGAAACGCTTTTAAGACGCCCCCACACGGCCGTTTTGGACGCCCCTCTGTTGTCAGATATGAGAGCAGTTATCAGGTCAACAGGTGTTGCAGCGATGGAAGCGGTCAAGAGAAGTGGTTCAGATAGAAGTGATTGTACCCGACCTAAAAAGCCTCTGCATGTTTCTAATAAGCTCCACGAGCAGAAACGTGCTCAAACTAGGATCAATATTGGAGATGCTTTTGAAAAATGGAGAGAGGTTAGAACAATAAGACACACCCGAGACCAGAGTGCTCCGAGACAAGACCAAGACGGTGCAGCATGTCCCTCACTAATGACAGTGATGACGTGGTGGTCTTGATTTAAAATCCAGAGTCTGCCCAGTCTGAGACCGAGACGAGACCAAGTAAAAACTCTTTCTATTCCGAGACGAGACCGAAACCTTCAAAACCGGTCTTGAGATCCAGAACAATTTGGAGTTCCACAACACTACGACCTATTTTAGTGAAGCTGACGACCGACTTAAAGGAGCCGCTGCTCAGGAGGAAACCTTTACAGACCGCCTTCTCTGACCAGATCAGGTCACCCATCAGGTGTATCGTATGTTCTCTATGAGTGCAGTCTTTGTGTTTCATGTTTACTGGTGTTACTGTTTCTTCTACATTTCTTCATTTGGTCGATCTTGGAGGACACGAGGCTCTTTTCATGCAGGTGTTGAAAATAAATCTGTTTATACCCTGAGCTCAGACAGGTGGGTTTGTGGTCAAATGAAAGTGTCCCTCTTTGGAGGTTTGAACATATGGTCACCCGTCATGACGTTGGTGAGTGGACAGAGTTTAAGGACAGAAAAAAAAGGAAGGAAATGAAAAAGAATTGAACCTCAGATTGACTGTTGACACATTTTCTTTCCATATAATGACACCTGTAGTGAGTACAGGTGTCACTGTGTGCAGGAAAACTCTGCTGCTCTGTTTACATGTTAAACTATGAAGTCACCTCTCACTGCCATGTCCAGGGCGGTCTCCTTCCCGATCCCCGTGTTGGCTCCAGTGATGAGGACTGTCTTTCCCTCCAGAGGAGCTGTGGACATGCACACTCCTCCTGCTGCATAGCTCCTGTCAATCAAACAACAAGCACTGGTTATCACACCGATCAGCTCTACTTTAAAGTCTGGGGGCCCCTCAGAGTCACTCTCAGCTTTGGGACATATGTCAAGCTTAATTATTCACAGTGAAACTTGGACAATGTACAGCAGGGAGCGTGAAGTCGTACGACCCACGCCACCGTGCAGGGCGGCCCCGTAACCAATGGCTCCTCTGCATAGAGATATAACTCCTCCCACGCGCAGCCTCCTGATAGGCCCGAGCTGCTCGGATGGAAGACTCCCGGTTCATCTCTGTGAGAAAACTCCCACAGCTCCATCATTCCTGTTCCGTTGATTTTCTGCTGTGGAAAATCAGTCAGTGTCGTGTGCAACAAAACACGATGAGAATAAAAAACCTGCTGCTGGGACCAATCAGAGGACGTTTCCAGAATGATGTGCGTGATATTTACAGTGAAATTAAATGTCCTGTCAACCCAGAATCAAGCCAGCCGTGATGTGTCAAAGCCTGTTATTATGAGGGTCTAAATGAAAAGGTGCTGCTTACCGGATGTGTGTGGAGAATAAAAGCACCAGTAACGTCACCGCTCCGAGGCCCGCGACAGCGACGAACAGCAGCATCATAGCCCGGACTGAGAGCTCCTCTCGGCTTCTTCCAGCTGGATGCTGCTCCTCTGTAGGAACAACAGCTGATGTCAAAGCAGAAAGCGCTGCAGAGCGGAGTGAGGGTGTAAGATGCACCGCGAACGGAATCATGGGATTGTAGTTTTTTCCCTCTGACAGGCTATAGGTTACAGGAAAACCGCGTTATTTTACAGTAAGCTGAGTTAGAGCACATTTATCTCAACATAGGATCATTTTTATTTATTTAGTTTATGTAGAAAATAGTCATAAATATATATAACATAAATAAATCATACAAATAATACAATTAAAATAAATATAAATGAATAAATAATAAACAAACAATTAATATGAAAGAATAATCATGTAAAATATAAAGTAAATAAATAAATAGAAATAATAAAATAAGGAAAAATAGCACCTAGATTTATCGTTACTATGACAACACAAACCTGTACAAGCCCCTGAGAAGCTCAGAAATAGAAACATTTTTAATCAAGAAACATTTAAAGTGTTAAACTTTTCACAAAATAAAAATATAACAAACAAACTAACCAGAAAAAAAGACAAAAAGGCGGGATCATAACTCGAAATAAATAAAAATAATTCAAATAAAAATAAAATACATTTGGGGAGCTTTAATCAACTCAAGTAATTTGACTATTTCATAGACACAAAAAAGATGTTTAAGTCATTTACAAACGCTTTAATTTTTTATTTAATATTATCAAAAAATAAACAAACAATATTAAATAATAAACAGAGAGTGTCAGGTTTGTATTCTAATAACTAAAAAGATCATTCTTCCATCAAAAACTGAATGAAAACAATACCAAAATAAATCTCGTACGTTTTTCGGCAGCATCGTAGAAAAACTTCATTTCCCAGAATGCCCGTGGAATCAGTCCGTCCCGCGCCTGCACAGAAATGTTATCGCGAGGAGTTTTGAATCATTTTCAACAACATTTTCCACACTCTTATTTCTTTAGTGGATGTTAAATAAATACTCAGTTTAAATTCTAGAAATAATTAAGAGCTAAATGATTGTTGTGTTTGATTTCCGGTCCGGAGTTTTTCGTCCCTGCGTCACGAGGACCGTCATGCGGAAGTGATTAGCTGCAAAGCAAAACATCGAGATTAACAAACAGCTGTGACAGTTGTTCATAAATCACTACTTTATTTAAAAAGAAGAAGAAGAAGAGACATGTCGTCGGAGGAGTTCGAGAAGCTTCATGAGATCTACAGATCTCTTTATGAGGAGCTCAAGTTAATGCCGGACAGAGTGCTCACCTGTCGCGGAGGTAAAGAGTTTGTTATGTGTTCACAGATATACCCGGATATACCTGGATATACCCGGATATACCTGGATATACCTGGATATACCCGGATATACCCGGATATACCTGGATATACCTGGATATACCCGGATATACCCGGATATACCCGGATATACCCGGATATACCTGGATATACCCGGATATACCCGGATATACCTGGATATACCCGGATATACCCGGATATACCCGGATATACCCGGATATACCCGGATATACCCGGATATACCCGGATATACCCGGATATACCTCCTCTGGTGGTCTGATGTGTTGATGTGTTGTTGTCCACAGAGGAGAGGAAGAGGCTGGTGAGGAGTTTCGATGAGAGGCAGGGGGAGGCGGAGGAGGTGGTGAGTACCTGCTGAGTACCTGCTGAGTACCTGCTGAGTACCTGCTGAGTACCTGCTGTAGGAGCTACACAGGTGTTTGTTGTGTTTACCTGCTGAGTACCTGCTGTAGGAGCTACACAGGTGTTTGTTGTGTTTACCTGCTGAGTACCTGCTGTAGGAGCTACACAGGTGTTTGTTGTGTTTACCTGCTGAGTACCTGCTGAGTACCTGCTGTAGGAGCTACTCAGGTGTTTGTTGTGTTTACCTGCTGAGTACCTGCTGTAGGAGCTACACAGGTGTTTGTTGTGTTTACCTGCTGAGTACCTGCTGTAGGAGCTACACAGGTGTTTGTTGTGTTTACCTGCTGAGTACCTGCTGAGTACCTGCTGTAGGAGCTACACAGGTGTTTGTTGTGTTTACCTGCTGAGTACCTGCTGTAGGAGCTACACAGGTGTTTGTTGTGTTTACCTGCTGAGTACCTGCTGTAGGAGCTACTCAGGTGTTTGTTGTGTTTACCTGCTGAGTACCTGCTGTAGGAGCTACTCAGGTGTTTGTTGTGTTTACCTGCTGAGTACCTGCTGTAGGAGCTACACAGGTGTTTGTTGTGTTTACCTGCTGAGTACCTGCTGTAGGAGCTACTCAGGTGTTTGTTGTGTTTACCTGCTGAGTACCTGCTGTAGGAGCTACACAGGTGTTTGTTGTGTTTACCTGCTGAGTACCTGCTGTAGGAGCTACTCAGGTGTTTGTTGTGTTTACCTGCTGAGTACCTGCTGTAGGAGCTACTCAGGTGTTTGTTGTGTTTACCTGCTGAGTACCTGCTGTAGGAGCTACTCAGGTGTTTGTTGTGTTTACCTGCTGAGTACCTGCTGTAGGAGCTACACAGGTGTTTGTTGTGTTTACCTGCTGAGTACCTGCTGAGTACCTGCTGAGTACCTGCTGTAGGAGCTACACAGGTGTTTGTTGTGTTTACCTGCTGAGTACCTGCTGTAGGAGCTACTCAGGTGTTTGTTGTGTTTACCTGCTGAGTACCTGCTGTAGGAGCTACACAGGTGTTTGTTGTGTTTACCTGCTGAGTACCTGCTGTAGGAGCTACTCAGGTGTTTGTTGTGTTTACCTGCTGAGTACCTGCTGTAGGAGCTACACAGGTGTTTGTTGTGTTTACCTGCTGAGTACCTGCTGTAGGAGCTACTCAGGTGTTTGTTGTGTTTACCTGCTGAGTACCTGCTGTAGGAGCTACTCAGGTGTTTGTTGTGTTTACCTGCTGAGTACCTGCTGTAGGAGCTACTCAGGTGTTTGTTGTGTTTACCTGCTGAGTACCTGCTGTAGGAGCTACACAGGTGTTTGTTGTGTTTACCTGCTGAGTACCTGCTGTAGGAGCTACACAGGTGTTTGTTGTGTTTACCTGCTGAGTACCTGCTGTAGGAGCTACACAGGTGTTTGTTGTGTTTACCTGCTGAGTACCTGCTGTAGGAGCTACTCAGGTGTTTGTTGTGTTTACCTGCTGAGTACCTGCTGTAGGAGCTACACAGGTGTTTGTTGTGTTTACCTGCTGAGTACCTGCTGTAGGAGCTACACAGGTGTTTGTTGTGTTTACCTGCTGAGTACCTGCTGTAGGAGCTACACAGGTGTTTGTTGTGTTTACCTGCTGAGTACCTGCTGTAGGAGCTACACAGGTGTTTGTTGTGTTTACCTGCTGAGTACCTGCTGTAGGAGCTACACAGGTGTTTGTTGTGTTTACCTGCTGAGTACCTGCTGTAGGAGCTACACAGGTGTTTGTTGTGTTTACCTGCTGAGTACCTGCTGTAGGAGCTACACAGGTGTTTGTTGTGTTTACCTGCTGAGTACCTGCTGTAGGAGCTACTCAGGTGTTTGTTGTGTTTACCTGCTGAGTACCTGCTGTAGGAGCTACTCAGGTGTTTGTTGTGTTTACCTGCTGAGTACCTGCTGTAGGAGCTACACAGGTGTTTGTTGTGTTTACCTGCTGAGTACCTGCTGTAGGAGCTACTCAGGTGTTTGTTGTGTTTACCTGCTGAGTACCAGATTTTTAACTTCCGGTTCGATTCGAGTAAACATCCAACGATCTGGATTCCTGATTGGATTCCCCCGGAGGTTAATAAAGTATTTCAGATTCTGATTGATTGTTACCATGGCAACAACATCGAAGTCGTAGCACCGGACGATATGGACCAAAACTCATATCTCCATATTGTTTAGCTGAATGGCGATACTCGATATATATCGATATGTATTTTATTAACAGTGAAAACACATAAACGACCTGTTTGTGAATTTAAAAAGTAGTATTATAAAATAAAAATGTTCCTTAAATCCAATAAAAGAGAGAGAGAGGAGGAGCAGACAGTCAGTCATCATCAGTGAGATGAGAAGAAGGAGACCTGGCACCTCTAACGTTATTTTAATGCAACATAAACTATATCCATATTAACGATATCGTCTTACTCTTTATCTTGTTTGAAAATATATCGATATATCTTAAAAACTCGATGTCCCAGCTCTAAGTCCGAGACCTCTGCACTCAACTTCTAACTTCTTGTTTTCAATTAGAGGAAGAACCGATTATTTGTCCATGTGAAGCTGGCCACACGCTGTGACTGGACGATTTCAGGCCCGATTTGCCCCCAACGATCGGGGGGGGCGTGGTCTAATTCACAACCTATTATTTGTCCTATGATGTCACTACGATGAGCGTACTGCTCCCGATCCAGTCAGAGCCTCCCCCCGATCTGGAATCAGACATACCGACCATTTTCAAATCTGCCGATTTTATAAACTGATTTCACAGACACGAGATCTCACAGAATCTCACGTGATCTTTCTAAATCACTTAGGAAGAAATGAAATATGGAGGATGATGTACGTCGTCAGCTGGCTGTCCTGTTGTCTTCAGTTTGCAGCTAAAAACATCGAACAAGAAAAAAATCTTGGCTGAGGAGACAGATTTTGTAGCGATCTGAAGGTGACTCTTCCCAGTCCGCCCGCTCTCATTGGCTGATGTGGATATTCCGTCTGAGGAAGTTTGACCTGGAATCGAAATGTCAGACACCTTTTCAGATCGGGGAAGCTTCGACTCGATTAGGAGCAGGAAAAAAAACATAGTGACACACTGGAGCCGTGAATCAGGCCACGCCCCCCCCCCCCGAACGTTGAACAGGCAAACTTTAAAAATCAAGATTTAGAAATAGTCTGTCTTCAAGCTGATGGCTCTGTTTGCTTTTTTCGCTCTAATAGAGGCCAAGTATTGATTTTAGTTTGTTCCATCTGAAAACTCTTCACAGGAGATTTAAATACCTAAAAGTCAAACTTTACTAAAGAGTTTGAGTGAAAAACATTTCCATTGTGCCGTAAATGAACTTCAATTTGTGATAAAATGGTTAAACTTTCCCGTTTGTTGTTTTGTATGAAGTAATAATAATAATACTTTACAAATGAATACTTTGTATAATTTGTAAAGCACTTTTCTAAGTAACAAAGTGCTTTACAACAGAAAATAAAAGCAGAGAGACAATTAAAGCAACAGGCAGAGCGTAAACAAGCAGACAACAAAATCAGACTAATAAAATAAAAATAAGAACAATTAACGAAATCACAGAGTAAAAGCATTTTTATAAAAGAATGTCTTGAGTAGGGAAGTAAAACAAGGGAGTGAAGTGATAGTTTAAAAGGATTCAGAGAAGATGAGCTCTGCATCGTCTGAACATCAGGAGATCACATCGCTGTGCTGTTGTTTAACCAGAACGTTCCTCTCCTCCCTCTCTGGGATCACTGATTTAAAAACTTCTCCTCCTCCTGCAGTTAGAAGGAATGGAAGAGGAGCTGCGAGCCGCCCCGTCCTCCCACAGGAACGCCATGAGCACCAAGCTGCGCATGTACCGCAGAGATCTGGGCAAGCTGCAGAGAGACATGAAGGTCTCTGCTCCGGGCTCGGGCTCCATGGCTGTGGGAGGAGGAGGCCATCATGGCATCTATTCATCACAGAACCAGCAGAGTGTGAGTTCAACTTTTTATATTATGACTATGTAGAATTGCCTAATTGATATAGGGGTGTATTGGAAGTACACTTTCTAAATCTATTTAAGTATATACATCTAGATTTTCTCTGGTTATTCATGTATTATTATTATTTATTTATATGTTTTTGTGTCTGTTTGAAACACACCACAAAATGTTCATGTTGACAGTGGATTTGCTTGTAAAGTTTTTGTTTTCCTAATAAACAAATCTTTAAAAAAAAGAACTTCCTGTCTGTAAGTGTTGGTTGCAGAGATGTTTTATTGGTGGAAACTCTTGAATCTGTGATGTCCCCCCTGTGCAGACACACCAGCAGTCCCAGAGAGCGTTGCTGCTGCAGGGCACAGATGCTCTGAACAACGCCAGCCAGAGCATCGAGCGGAGTCAGCGCATCGCCAACGAGACGGAGCAGATCGGCACCGACATCATCGAGGAGCTGGGCGAGCAGAGAGAGCAGCTGGACCGGACCAGAGACAGAGTGAGACATGATGAAGTCTGAACCGTTAATCACACTGAAGAGATGTTTAGAACTCAAAAAACATCCTGAAGTTTTCAGGCTGAGCTGAATGTGTGAACGTAAACAGACACATTTTTCACTCCGACTTTCCAAACAACGTTTTTTTTTCCAGCCGCCTCGTAAATTTTCTATTTGAAGTCTGAGTAAGATAACACAGCAGGATACAATCAGGAGAAGCTATGTCCTATTGGTTACGGTGAGAAGGTATAAACCCCTCTATTTCAGCCCTGCTCAGAACAGGCTGTTTCTGTGTCTGTACCTTTAAATATGTAAATGAGCTGGAGTCCGGCTCTGACCACGCCCCCTCTCTAGAAGGGCTTGGGTGTCTCAGTCTTTCTCGCTCCATGTCCTATTGTTTACGGTGAGAAGGCAGACTCAGAGGGCAGAACAAACACCTAGCTGTGGGAGTGTCACCCACCTGGGGGAGGGGCTACTGCCCTTTGTGATGTCATGAAGGGAAAATCTCCAAACGGCCTGTTTGAGCACACATTTTCTGAAAAGTGGAGTAGGGAAAAGACTGAGAGGATGGACTTTTCTCATCATTGGGGGGTTTGTAGACTAGAGACACATGTTAGAGTTAGAGGAACATGAGGAAGAGGATTTTAAATAACGTGATCTTTAAATTTAGGTGAAAAACACAGGTGTGTAATCAGGTGTGTTATCATCCTGTTCTCTTTTCTCTAGTTGGTGCACACCGGAGAAAACCTCGGGAGAACTAGAAAGATCCTTCGTTCCATGGCGAGGCGGTAAGAGCTCCTTCTGAACATGAGTCTGATTGTTTTTTATATTTAAGAAACGCTCATCAAACTCTTTTCACTCTTTGTGTTTCAGGCTGGTGACGAACAAGCTGCTGTTAGCCGTCATCATCTTAATGGAGTTAGCCATTCTGGGCGCGGTGGTTTACCTGAAGTTCTTCCGGTGATGAGCGACCCGTTCACCTGAGAGCGTTCAGAGCTCTGGATCCAGGACTCTCTCCGGACTCTCTGATCCTCCTCGAGCAATAATCATGTTTTCTGCTGTGAAGGACGATGAGCCTCTCTGTCTTTGAGGGAACGTTTGAACTATTTAACGGACCAAATCTACAACATCTCCATGGACAAACTGTGCGCTGACATCTGCTGATTTATCAGATTTTTAACGCCACGGACGCCAGACGCCCTGCAGGACGCTGCTACAGACCAGAGAGGATTCCCTGCTAGGTTTTATTAAATGCCTTTCTTTCACATGTTTTGGTTCTGACAGCGTGCAGCATTAGCGATATAACCAGCTCCATTCTCTTGTTTCCTATCTGAGGGTCCTAACAGCCCGCGAGCGCCGCCGCATTTTAACCCCGACGCCACGTTTCTATTTTCCTCTCTGACGCTCTCGTAGACGGACGAGGAACGAGAGAGGAGAGCGCTCTCACTCCCTCTGCAGAGCTCGTTAGCTTGATGTACAAAGTGGAGATGACAGTGCTTCAATATCCACATCATGATTGACATGTTGACCTTTGACCTCTGTCAACACCGAAGGAAAAACTTCATTTGGCTCACCGCGAGACGTTTACTGACGAGCCAATACAAAGCACCACACTTCAGATTGTCAGCCTTCAAAATAAAAGCACCACATTTCAGATTATCAGCCTTCAAAATAAAAGCACCAGACTTCAGATTGTCAGCCTTCAAAATAAAAGCACCACACTTCAGATTGTCAGCCTTCAAAATAAAAGCCCCACACTTCAGATTGTCAGCCTTCAAAATAAAAGCATTACACTTCAGATTGTCAGCCTTCAAAATAAAAGCACCACACTTCAGATTGTCAGCCTTCAAAATAAAAGCACCACACTTCAGATTTTCCACCTTCAAAATAAAAGCTCTAGATGTCATATGGGCAGAAACGACACGATGTCCAACGCTGGCGTGCTGTTAGGACACGGTGTACTGAGAGCTGAGCCATGAGGCGGAATCCTTCAGAGGGAGGAAGTGAAACAGGAAGTAAAGTTACTAATGTTGTTGTTTTTATTATTCATGTTGTCAAATCACTGTCGTATACGAATGTGTTTTTAAAGTTTTAATTACTCCTCATCTGACGTCTCCATTAAAGAAAACCCGCCGCCGCTCTGACGTCACCAAAGTGTGTGTGGACGACCACGAGCAGGTTCGTGCTGGGCAAACAACACCTGTTACTACGGAATTAATTCACAACTAATGGACGATAAGGTTCTTTTTTTACCGCCGTGTTCTTGGAGTGGAACATCTGTCGCTGTGTTTTTCCTTCTCTTGGAAATCACGCCTTATTGGTGTGACGCCAAGAACCTATAACACGCAGGTCGACCTGTTTGTGTGGCGAGGGGGGAGGGGAGAGGGTCACTTTTGTTTTTGTGCTTGAGCTTGACTTAAACTTCACCCTTGATAACTCATTTAATGAACTTATTTTTATCATACGGTTCTTACATAGCTGAGTGTAAATCATTTTTTTCCTAACTTGAATTGATCGTTAATCTTTCTTATAACCGAGCGTTTATTTCCTCCACGTATTTAACTGATAATTGTTGTTACATAACGCAGCACTGCTGACCTTCCTGTCCTGGGGCGACGGTAGCCTAGTGATTAGTGTACGCGCCCCATGTACAGACGGAGCTGTGTTCCTCGAGGTGGGCGGCCCAGGTTCAAGTCCGACCTGTGGCTCCCTTCAGCATGTCATTCCTCTCTCTCTCTCCTCTCTGTCTCTCTCTCTCTCTCTGTCTGTCTCTCTCTCTCTGTCTATCTCTCTCTCTCTCTGTCTCTCTCTCTCTGTCTCTCTCTCTCTCTCTCTCTGTCTCTCTCTCTCTGTCTCTCTCTCTCTCTCTCTCTGTCTCTCTCTCTCTGTCTATCTCTCTCTCTCTGTCTCTGTCTCTCTCTGTCTCTCTGTCTCTCTCTCTCTCTCTGTCTCTCTCTGTCTCTCTCTCTCTCTCTCTCTCTCTCTCTGTCTCTGTCTCTCTGTCTCTCTCTCTCTGTCTCTCTCTCTCTCTCTCTCTCTCTCTCTCTCCTCTCTCTGTCTCTCTCTCTCTCTCTCTCTGACTCTCTCTCTCTCTCTCTCTCTCTCTGACTCTCTCTCTCTCTCTCTCTCTTCTGTCGCTCTCTCTCTCTCTCTCTGTCTCTCTCTCTCTGTCTCTCTCTCTCTTCTCTCTCTCTCTCTTTCTGTCTCTCTCTCTTCTCCTCTCTGTCTCTGTCTCTGTCTCTCTCTC